GCAACTCCAACTGGCCAAGAGACAACTTTTAACTCTTTACCAACGAAGCGACACCCCCGCCCCATCTGTAGATGCGCTGTGTCATAAGCAACGGGTCTAAATAATCAAGCAATAATTCCTCTTCGTTAGTGCAAGCCTAGACCTGTTTATGTTTGACATGGAAAAAAAAAATAATTCGCTGACGTAGCACAAGCTGCCAGAGCTGCTGTTGTACCTGGTCTGTTTTGGCATCTCCGTTTTCTGCAGGGTTGTTTCCCTCCTTGCCAGCATCAGCTTTCCCCTTCTTTCCCTTGGGCAACTTCTCGCTCTTCTGTAAATGTAAGATGACGTACACCATCACAATTACCAACATCCAGTCATTAAGCCACAAGAATCCAAAAACTAGGATGGTAAAAACCAACACTGGATGTTGGTCTGAAAAGCATGGAACATGCAAATGTCTGCATGTTTAAGAGGTTGACGACAACTGTGAGGAGTCTTTGCTTCAGTATTTTTATTATCCAAGTTTTGTAAAATGCAGAAGTCTTCAGTGCAACTTTATAGAAGTGGCAATGCAGCTCAATTTCACCACTACATGTGCTGCTACTCAAAAGTTTCATGACTTATTACTGGACAAATCTAGACCTCATAACCCGTTTACCTCTCAATAATAGCACTGACACGACGACTTACCTTTGGAGCTGCCTTTTTAGGTTTAGGCTCTGGCTTTGGAGGAGCAGGCTTCTGTAAGTGAGAAAAACCCCTTGTGTTATTCAAATTCTTTTAAGAGAAACAAGCTACTTTAAGAAAAATATACCCAAATATTTTAATTTTAGGAAAGCAAATAAAAATATTTGAAATTGAAGCACTTACTTGATTTGTCAATTACTCTACCACTCCCACACCACCGCACAATGGGGCAGTTCGTTAAGCTAATAACTTACTTTCGACTGAACAATGCGTCTCTCCAGAGTACCTACAGTTCTCACGCAGATGTGGTAAAAAATGCTCCAGCTTAAAACTATAAACTGTTGTGACATCTCTGCTCAACAAGAGAATACTCACAGCAGATAACCTCGCTGATCTCCGTTGTGGCTATTTAAAAAGAAAAATGATTGAATTTAATGTGATGGAATAGGAACTCTCATAGTACCTCTCGTTTCAAAGCAGTAAAATCCCAGAACTGTTAAGTTTTTAGTTCACTTTTTCCCTCTTCTCAAGAAAGATGAGACTATCCCATTTAAACCACTACTGATAGCTAACGTTTTCATGGCTAAGGCTCAAAGACAGTTAATACTTTGAAAAGTCAGAATCAATTAAGACCGACAACCACACCCCACTCCCCCAGTTCTTTATTTTGATGAAGTTAAACCTCATTCTCCAACAGAAACACTTTATGATCTAACTTTCTCCAAATATTGAACTTCTTACCTCATCCTTAACTTTGGCCTTATCGCCCTTGGCATCTCCTTCAGCCTAGGACATGAAACATAAGTCGTACCGCCGAGCTGAGGGGAGGCACGCGCAGCCCCCATACCCGCACCATCAGTTATTTTTAAACACCCCCCCC